TATGAATAAATAAATAAATCTTTAAAAAAAATAATAATAATAATAAATAAATTAAATTACTTCACTGTTAGTTGATTATTATTTATTGTAAGAGTAAAAAGTGACCCACAAGGTAGAAGTTATACATAAACACTTATCCCACAAATATTTATATGCAGGATATATAGCTTTTAAAACCATGCAGTCAAGAAAAACATAATCTGCATTAAAGGGAAAATACTTAAGCAGGGCCTTTATGAAACAAGGCTTTGAAATGGCCAACAAATATATAAAATGGCCCTCCATTCACTAACCATCAGATAAACTAAAATTCTATACCGCCTTTAAAAGTCAAGGAGGTTAAACACTATTAGGGCTGTCTGATGAGACCAACGGGTCTCATTCCATTCTCAAATAGCCTGAGGCTGGAGCGGGCTCAGGCCACTCAGTGGCAAGAGGGAACATTTTAGGGGCATGAAAACATTCTCACGGCGCATTATGGTGATGACTGCACAACTAAAATATCTGCACGTTGTACTTACAATAGGTGAATTGTTACCATTGGTAAATTATACCCGAAAATACTGGCTTAAAAATAAAAGCAACCTGCTGTAGGGGTTGAGACTATTTTTTAGTATGGATCCAATGCATTTGCCCATTTTGCTTTGCTTTATAAAATGCTGATCTGGAAAAAAAAACTAATAAATTTATGTAAATGAGGCCTACTCATTAAACAATTTGGAAAATCCAAACCACCAGACAGAAATGTCCTGCCATCCCAGTGCCCCTAGTATCTGAGCCAATGGCTGACCCAGGTGAGCAGTACTGTCTGGAGCAGGATGGCCCTGACCTGTCCAGTTGGTGATTAACAGAGGCCAACTGTGGCTTGACCTTGGCCCCAGAGGCCACTGACCACCAGCTCAGGGTTACTGGCCCGGGGTTAATAATCATGAAGGCCTGCAGCTTTGCTTGCCACACAGCTCTAGAGCCTGGGCCTTGGAAAGAGGCGGGTGGGCCCTGGTCCCTGCCCCTGGGGAGCCCACAGCCTGGAAACCCCCCCTTAGGGCAGTGACGTAGAGCATACAGCAGCCTGCCTGGAAAAGCTGTGAATTCAGGGGAAATGAAGAGATTCCCCCACTCCCCGTTAGTAAAGAAAGGTCCAGCCCTCCCTGGTGGCGCAGCGGGTTAAAGCACAGCACAAGGAAGCTTAAGCCACTTCTGCAAGAGTTCAATTCCCGCCTGCCCCGGAGGTGACCACATAGCGTGGCAGACCTCTCCTGACCCGCCCGCTGCTCCCCTCAGCAGTGTACTTCGTAGGTCTGCCTGTTCTGCACCCCACTCTGTCTCTGGTGAATCCTCTCACTTTCCGCATCTCTGGCCTGTACCCCAGTTCTGTACAAACAAATAAATAAAATCTAAAAAAAAAAAGAAGGGTCCCAGTCGCTCTTCCACTGACTTCTTGGGTGGCTTAGGGCCACTCACTCTCCCTCTGGAGCCTGAGAGTCTCCACATGCAAAAGACGAGGGGGGCCCCAATGCTGGGACTCGAAGCTAACCCTGCACCCCTAGATCCTAGCAGTGCAGCCATATCTAGAACCTATGTGTCTCTGAGCCTCAGGGTCCCCAGCTCTAAAATGGGGCACCATTACAGTCTAGAACCCCTGACCTGCGTTGACACTTTACCTCTGGCTCCAGACATCCCTGAGAGGAGGGAGCAAAGGAGCAGGGCTCCAATAACGCTGTGTCTC